TTTTGAAATGTCTTCAAAGATTGAATCATATTCTAAATTTTCATATTATCTGTGATTATTTCCTTTTGTGCGACATGATTTCCTCCCTCTTCTTTGAAGTAGACCCCCGACATTCCCACCTTGTACCTGCTTTTGCTTGATTTGTGTCTGGCCATGTGGCCATGGGTATCATACCCACATCCACAGGTAAGGCAGGTTATCTGAGGAGCTGTCACTTCTTTTGTAGAATGAGATTGTTACAAGTGCTGTTCTGTGGCTTCCTTTTCAAAGTGAGCCCAGAGCCAGCTACTGGGCCTGTCTTTCATTTGATGTTGCTTGTTGAAGGTACAGATGTGTTGCTGGTATCAAGGTAGACTGTGCCCCTCATGTGAATGATGGCGTTGTTTCTAGTTTTGTCCTTGTCAACAAGGTGGTCCCTTCCATAGGAGAAGTCTGGCCCTGTGCACACTAGCCACTTCTCTTGAGCCTGGTAACCACTCCAACTTGAGCTCTATGTGCTTCCCCAGCCCAGGTCCCTTCCATGCAAATGTGTCCTGTTCTTATCCTCCATCCTTTCTCCTACCTTAGTGTCTTTTTTTTTTCTTAAATAACTCAGTCCAGCTAGAGTTGCATATATGCACATATGTACAAAGTCTCTACTGGAGCATGGGCAACATACCAGGGACCACATTCCCAGAGAAAATGGATATTTCCTTCCCCAGCAGCCGTCAGCTGCCAGTAGCTTCTCAGATACAGATGGGGCCTTGTGAGCCCCTCTGCCATCCAAACTGGACTGGTGACCAGCTTGATCGTGTGCAGGCAGCCACAGCTGCTTTGAGTTCATGATTGTCACGACTGTGTCATGTCCAGAGCACATTTCATAGCCCTCCTGCTTCTTCTGCCTTATTCTCTGAGCCTTTGGTGGTGGGGGGTGTATGTGACAGAGGTGTCTCATTCAGAGCTGAGCACCCAGGAGACTCTTATTCTCATCTCTTTGACCAGTTATATGCCTCTGCATTAAATACTGCCCACTACAAAAAGAAACTTCCCTGATCAAGTCTGAAAGCAGCACTGATCACTATAAACATAAATATTTAGAAGGCTGTTTGACAAGAACATTTAGCAAAAGAACAGTAATAATCCCCCTTCCCCCCAGGCCCTGTGACCTCCCTGGTTTAGGGATTTTTAAATTCATATGTCAGGCATGGATTTCCTCCTGTTGAGAAGGCCTCAAAACCAGTCAGAAAGGGTTAGTTACACCCATACTGGTCATGCCACTATTGTACCAGTGGGTGCATCTTACCTAGCAGGTCAGTATTGCAACATGCAGGGTCCAGTGCTGGGTAAGACCACTGATGTCTTTATACTTGTGTCTGTAATAGAGTGTAATATTAGAGCTGGGCATAGTGGCACACACCTTTAATCCCAGCACTGGGGAGGTGGAAGCAGATGGCCCTCTGTGAGATGGAGGCTAGTCTGGTCTGCATAATGAGTTCTGAGTTGCTTGGGGCTACAGGAAGACCTTGTCTCAAAAAAACCAAAAAAACCCAAAAATAAAAAACAAAGCAAAAGCAAAAAGAATGCAATGTGGGACTCTACATGGTTTGTGTGGTTGTGTATGTGGGGTGTGTGGGTGTGGGGGGGGGTTGTGGTGTGTGTACGTGAACACGCGCTGGTGCTTCCATATATGCATATGTACAGCCCAGACATGGGCTTTGGGTATCTTCCTCCATTACGTTCCACTTTTTTTTTAATTTAATTAATTTTTTAAAAATTTTATGTGTATGAGCATATTGCCTCCATGTATGTGAGTGCACCCGTGTCGTGCAGTGCCGCAGGGGTCAGAAGAGGGTTTCAGATTCCCCTGGAACTGGAGTTAAGGATGGTTCATAGCCATGTGGGTGCTGGGAATCGAACCCTAGTCCCCTGCAAGAGCAGTCAAGTTCTCTTAACCCCTTGGGCATCTCCCCAGCCCCCCCCCCCCCGCTCCACTTCTTTAAAAAACATTTGTTTATTTACTCATGTATTTTTTACAGGAGAGGGGCATGCTCATTCATGCCATGGTACAGGGGTGGAAGTCAGAGGACAGCTTTTGGGAATCAGTTCTCTTCTTTCACCATGTGGTTTCCTGGAATCAGACTCAGTCCTCAGGCTTGGGAGCAATTGCCTTTACCTGCTGAGCCACCTCTCTGGCCCACCACTTATTTTTTGAGACAGGGTCTCCCACTGAACCCGTAGCTCACTGTTTTGGCTAGACTGCATGGTTAGTGAGCCCTTAAAGCCTGTCTCTGCCCCCAGCACCAGGCTCACAGACCCCCCCCATACCAGCACTGGGGTCAAAGACACCCCCCCCCACCAACACCAGGGCCACAGACCCCCTCCCCTCAGCACTGGGATCCCAGGGTCACAGACCACCATCATGCTTTCAAGCTCAGCTTTTATGTGGGTGTTGAAGATCCAAACTTGGTCCCTGGCAAGCAGGGCCATTTTCCCAACCCTTATCAGTGATGATTTTTAACACACCTGGCACCCTACTAAACTTCAGGGACCTTAGGGTCAAAATTCATCCCCCATTTTTTGTAAGTCTTCCACAAGCTTGACTTACCTGCACATAGTAGGTTTCATGACCGTTCACTCACTAAATGATCTAGCTGAGGCTGTAATTGCCTGGGTTTAAAACTGTTCCTTCCAAAAATCTAGCCTGTTTGTCATCATCAACCTGGTTTTTAGTGCCCTGCAGGCAGTCTTTGTTAGGTACACCCCAGCCCTGCAGAACTGGTCGCCCGTCAAGACTGGCAAGCACTGGTGGGCTTTGAAAGGCAAAATGCCTTTCTGTTGCTCCCTTGTCCAGCCTCCAGCTGTGACATCTTTGAAAGTTAAATTCACCAGAAAAGGAAGTTGCCACTGAAAAGTGACGCACCAATGGAAAGCCTGGGTTGCCCCCTCGTGACCATGGGGTGGGTTGCCCAGGGCAACAATCAGCCTATAGATCCCCTTCCCCTGGTTAAATTACTGGGAAGGGGCCCGAAACACAATGGCAGTGGGAGTCTGCTGAAGGCAGCAGCTCCCGGCGTCCCTCACTCCCCTCCCGGAGCTGTATCAAATCCTAGAACCACACCACACTAATTAGCCCAGAGTGGAAGGGGTTGTCATGGCGACGGGGCACTTTTTAAAGCACAGGAATGGTGTTCATTATTGTTTGAGTCCTTAGCTGTGTGGAAAAGGTCAGGGCGGCAGTTGTTTTCCATATGAAGTTTGGCCCAACTGAAGGTGGAGTGTCCCTGAAGACACTGGAAGATGGTGAGTGCCGAGCTGCGTTGGTCGGGCCCTGGAGTCCTATCAGGATGTTTTAAAAACTCAGCTGCCAGGCTAAGGAATTGTATGGAGTTTGTTAAATGGAGACGGGTGGAAGAATGTGGGTCTGGCACAGAGCAAGCTGAGGGAGAGGGGTTAGTATTCATATCTTGGAGCCTCAGACGATTGTTAAATTTAAAAGGTTTCTCTGCTGTGATGAATGTTACAAACTTAAGTCCGCTACTTTATTTGGTGTTTACTTTGTAAATGTACGTGTGCTATGTAGATCGCGACTGCTCAGATTTCATTTCCAAAACCTTGTAGCTGAAGCATCTCAGCCAAATGCCTTCAGAACAGTTACCCTCTCACCCCACCCCCACCCCGGTTTTTAAGCCTGAGGTACAGCATACAGTGTGCCAGGGGTAATTATGTTTTCATAGTCGTCACTTTCCTTACTCTTCTGAGGAGAGTTGAAATACACAGACTGAAAACCAGAGCCACTGTTCTTTGGCTACTTGCCCTAATTTGTTGGCTATAGTCGGTTAGAAAACTGCTAAGTAAAGACAGCTTGACCACAGTGTTTATATAAGACATTTTTTTCAGAGAAGTCTGCCTGCTGCCTGTTGCGGATGAGGGCAGCTGTTCCATCAAAAGCTGTCAGGGGATTGGCAGCACTGTCTTTTTTTTTTGGCTCGTTTTTGAAAATGTACAGAATAACGTAGCGTTGAGCTTAATTCTGTGTTCATGACCAGTTGTGTTTCTTAAGGATCAGAGAGTAACTTTGCATTTTTTTGGACTTTTCAACAGTTGTGGCTGCTTTTCAGTCTTTTTATTCACACTTCTATATAGAATAACAACATACAAGTTAATTAAAGGGAATAGGGGCTTGGATGAGAAGAGCGAGTCATCATCCAAAAAGCTGAAGTGGGAAATGACCCACTTTGCTTTCCCCTGAAAAACTATTGTTCCGGCAACAGCGCCAGTTGGCAGCTGGGCAGATAGGAGGGCAGGTTTCAGAGGTGGAGCCTTGGCTGGGTTTCCTGTCCCAAGTCTGTATGTCCTTGGGTTCATTTCTCTATGGAACTTGCTACTGGGCAAGAAGTAGAACAAATTTAAAGTCGTCTTCTCTCTTTTGTCCTCTGGGTAACATTTTGATCCAGTCCCCCCCATCCCACCCCATGTGAGTGTGTGGTGTGTATGTGTCTGTGTGTGTGTCCTTCATTTGTTACTGTATTTTTTGCTTAAAAGTACCTCTCGGTATCTTTAAATTGAACTTTAATGAGCAGAGTGTTATTTCCATGACATTTCCAAGTCTTTTGAAAAAGATTTTTAAAGTCATGGTACATTTATGATGTTTGTAGGATAGTCAAATGTTTGAACGTGAATATTTCTGTTGAGGAAGCATTGGTATCTTTCAGGAAATTATAACAGTATTACAGTTATATTAAGCTATGATATATGCTAAGCTAGTTAAAAATGAGATTAAATCAGCAGTATTCAAAAAATATAAAGGGGTCAATAATAAGGCTGATAGGCTTACATGATCAGCTGGGGTTGAGGGATGCTCAGTGATGGACCGACATGGGTTCATTTTCTAATATGTGTTTTTGTGTAGGTTCTAAATTGTTGTATATGTGCCCACATACTCCCTAAAGCAATAGTGAGGGTGCCCTCCTTAATGCTGTTACCTAATTCTATCCAACTTTATCTCATCCGTCACATTCTAGATGCCAGACCAGTTCGATCAGGCAGTTGTGCTAAACCAGCTCCGGTACTCTGGGATGCTGGAGACCGTGAGGATTCGCAAAGCTGGGTATGCGGTCCGAAGACCCTTTCAGGATTTTTACAAAAGGCAAGTGAGAGCTAAGTGGATTCCTCCTCCCCTCCCGCTCCCCTTTCTTTTCTCTTTTCCTCATTCCTTTCCTTTTTCCTTTCTCATTTACTTTCTTCTTTTTTATTTCTTTTTTTTTTTTTTTTTAAAGGAATGTAAGAAAAGTAAATAGCGAAATGTAACAGCGTGTGGCCCTTTCTGTGTTGTAGGTATAGAGTGCTGATGCGGAACCTGGCTCTGCCCGAGGATGTCCGAGGGAAGTGTACTGTGCTGCTGCAGCTCTACGATGCTTCCAACAGCGAGTGGCAGCTGGGGAAGACCAAGGTATGGTGACAAAGAACCGCTATCACCACACCCCAAGAGGTAACACCCACGAGGTGTAGGGTTCCAAAACACTGCTAAGTAATTGCTGTGAACATTGGAGACCTGCTTGTTGTTTTGCCTGTCACCTTTCATCTTCTAGATACTGTGTGAGCCTTGAATCATCAGGCACACATTGAAATACTATATTCTGATGCTTCGTAGGTAGGTGTGTGTGTGTGTGTGTGTGTGTGTGTGTGTGTGTGTGTACCCTTAACATGCTTGCTGAATAGAACCCCAGTGTCATAAATGTATGAGGCTGCCCACAACAACTCAGAAGGGAGACCCCAAAGCCTCCTAATTCTGATTTGAATGCTGTGTGCTTTCAATGCCACAGCAGCCATTGTATGGGAGGCCAGCCCATAACCTATAACCCTGTGGGTTGCCAAGACCTCAGTCAGTCCTGGGTTGCCAAGACCTCAGTCCAGAAAGAGAAAAGCAAAAGCTATGTTTAGACATGACACTGTGGCAGAGGTCCTTACCCACGTATTCCAGTTGAGAGCTGAGTTGAAAGCAGTCTATCTGTACCCCGAAATGAACCATAGAACCAGTCATGTGACCTCTTCATCCTCTTCGGGGAACTGCCCGGCCAAGCCTCTGTAAGTATTTTGCTGCATTGGTTTGCCTTTCATGTTGCTGAAAGCTGTAGATAAGCATGTGCAAGTTCATGGGGGCAGAGCAGAAGAGCCGTCTTTTTCACAGGCATAAAACAAGAGCAGACATTTCTGTAATTCCTGTTCCAGCCAAGATGCTCTCTCGACCTCTGATAGTGGAGGAGACATCTTACCTTTTTCAGAATGTTTCCATTTGTTCACCCAGCAAATATGTCACTCGTTGCAGTTGGCACTTTTCTTTCATTATGTCATCACTGCTGCCCACCCTTAGGTTTGATGTTTCTACTTATTTTAAGTGCTATTTAGAGCAAAAACATCAAAGATCCGAAATACCAAAAACCCCCAAATCTAAAAGATTACACGTCTTTAAAATCTGATCTTGATGAAAACTACTTTGATAAAGGCAGAGAACTCGTATTTCTAACTTTGTGCTAGAGAGGATTGAACCCAGAGTCTCATGCATGATATTCAGGTGCTCTCTCCCTAAGCCACTTCCCTGGCCCCTGTCTCTAAACATCTTTAATTATTATTTCACTGAACAAGTTGCGTACTTGTAGCTTTTGTGCTTGGCATTGAGGATCTGTTGGCTGAAAGCCCAGTCCCAGCATATACCTGCAGATGCGGTCATTTCAGTTGCAGGAAAGGGTTGCAGAGACAGCTTCAGGGGGAGTAATATGTATGTGAGGTTCACGGGCACTCCTAGCGTATAGCAGGTGTTGCTGCTGCACTTGTGATTCAGGTAGTAGAACACAGCATCTATTCTCATGCCCAAATGTCTCAGGGAAGACAGAGCAGAAAGTCAGGGTGAACGTGACACATTAGTAGGCCAGAACCCCAAGGCCGCCATGCTACCCCTTGTTTTACAGCAGAAAAACGGAAAAGGTGGTACTTGTATTTTTAAAGGAATCCTTTTAAAACCATATTGTTATCATATTAAATCTGAAGTGGCAAGATTAAAAGTTACTTTGACTGGGGCTAGAAAGATGGCTCAGCAGTTAAGAACACTGGTTGTTCTTGCAGAAGACTTCAAATCCCAGCAGCCACATGGCAGCTAACAACTGTCCATAAAGCCAGCCACAGGGGATCCAACAGCCTCTTCTGACCTCCGCAGGCATTGCATGACACGGGTGCACTTACCTACATGCAGGCAATACACGCATACACATAAAATCAAAATAATAAATTTAAAAAAATTTTACTTTGACTAAGAGGATCTGCATGTTTTCATCTTTTCAAAACTGAGGGTTACTGGTTCCAAGTACTGATATCAGGCACAGCCAACTTGACCAGACTAGGACTGAGGGGACTGTTCCATAAATGAGCCCAGAAATGGCTGTAGTTTATTTGGTCCTGAACTTGAAGTGCTTGTGATCCCTAAACTGGTATACTTTAATTCTCACTTCACACTCAGTTATCAGAAGTGTTTATGTGTGTGTATGGTGAGGAATTGAACTCAGGACCTCATACATACTATGTACTAAGCACTCACTTTGCTACTGAGCCAATCCTCAGAATTACCACCACCTGTTCTCCCCGACCCCCATCCTTCTTAAAGATTTATTTTTAGTTATTCGTATGTATATGGGTATGTGTGCATGAGAGCAGGTGCCCATGAATGCCAGAGGAGGGCATAGGATCCCCTGAAGCTATAGTTACTGACAATTGGGAGCTGCCCACCATGGGTGCTAGGAACCAAAACTCCGGTCCTCTGCAACAGCTGTATGTGCTCATGACTGCTGCTGATCCATCTCTCCAGGCTCCAAAGTTACCTTTTTTTTTTTTTTTTTTTTTTTTTTTGATCTTTTTGAGACAGGGTCTCTCTGTAGCCCCAGCTGGCCTGGAACGCACAAAGATTCACTGGCCTCTGCCTCCAGAGTGCTGGGATTAAAGGTTTGGCCACCACGCCTGGCTCAAAGTTACCTTCTTAACATTAGTATTTCCTCTTACCCATACAAGCCTTCAAGGTGCTCTGATGGTAATGGCTTAGCAAGTATAGAGAGAGGGTTCCCACAAGACAGCAAAGCTTTCTTGGATTTGCCCCATCCCTCCTCTTGTGTGTCTGTCTCTTGTTACTGAGACATAGACTCAGACTCGATGCTGGTCTAATGCTTGGTGCCCTGGTCCACAAAGACATAAACCTTTAGGAACTTTGGTAGCAGTTCAGCAGTTACTTTATGCCTATTGAATGTAGCAATAATAATTAGAAAGGAGACTTGACCTTCTGTATATCCCTTTTATTTTTCTTCCTTGCTGTATATGTCTTTATTGAATTTTAGAAAGTATTTGTCCATGGCCAGTAGGTCATCAAAATGCACTGACCTAGAAATCCTGGTCATGGGAGTTTGCAGCAGACATTAGAAGAAACAGGTGTTGTTCCCAAAGGCCAGCTCTGACTCTTGAGTTATCTTCCTTCTACCAACCATGTTCTTTGCTTCTGACACCTCCCCCTGGACAGGTGTTCTTGCGGGAATCCTTGGAGCAGAAACTGGAGAAACGGCGGGAGGAGGAAGTTAACCAGGCAGTTATGGTGATTCAGGCCCATATCTTGGGCTACTTGGCACGGTAAGAACTAGCCTAGTAGAGAGAACAGGAAGCCCCACAAAGGCAGTGTCCCCAGTTTCCAGGTGCAGATGCACCCAAGGTCCCACCTCTTAAGTGGCCACAGCAGTAGCCCAGTAAGCCTGAACCGGGTAGAAAGTAGAAAAGTGTACTTAAACCACTTTCGCTACCTCACGTAGAAATCTCTTTGGAGGCATATAAATTGACATTTGAGTTCCTTCATCTCCTGCTGCCTTAGCAGCCTAGTGTTCTGAGTAGCCATTTCTGAAATGCTTGGGCCCACAACCATTTCATATTTTAGGCATTCTTCATATTTTTGAACATGTGCCTGGCCTCTGTTGACCATCTGAAATTTTAAAAAGTGTTCCTCAATCTGATTCTTTTTTTCCAGTACTGAGGGTTGAACCCAGGCCCTCATAACATACTAAGCACATACTCTGCCTCTGAGCTGTACCCCTAACCCCTAAAATCTGAAAATTTTTTAGGATCACATCAGTGCTCAGAAAGTTAAAGATTTGGGGTTTGCGGGTGAGGAATGCCCAACTTGAATAGAACCCGTTTTCTAGTTGGTTGCAAATGAGAAGAGTGTCTTTCATGGTCACTTGGCTCTGTATACTCTGCATGCCACATGAAACCCCAGGCATTCCATCTTCTGAAGCACAGGGCTGCCCTGCTGCAGTGCTGTTCTGTTTTGTTGGTTTGCTTGCTTCCGTATTGAATGGGAAAGTATATTGGATCTCCTCTAGCCGTGTTTGCCCCATTTGTGCCAGACTGTGCAAAGTCAGTATTAGGGGTTATGTGTTTATTTAGCCAAGATAGCAATAGGGTTCTGACTTCCCTGTGGTTATTATTCTTTTATTTTTCTTCTTTGGGGGGGGGAGTCTCCATAATGAGACTGTCAGTCCAAATCTGGGTCCTCTCTTTCGTCTTGTAATCATAATGTAAGCTCATTTGACTAACTCCCAGCTTCACTACCTCAACGGCCATTCTCCTTTGCAGAAAGCGCTATAGAAAGGTCCTCTGTGGTGTGGTGATCATACAGAAGAATTACAGAGCCTTCCTTATGAGGAAGAGGTTTTTGCACCTGAAAAATGCAACCGTCGTATTCCAGAAGCAAGTCAGAGGGTGGCTGGCACGGAGAGTCTACAGACAGCTCCTGGCCGAGAAGCAGGAGGAAGAGAGGAAGAAGTGGGAGGAAGAAGAGAGGAAGAAACGGGAGCAAGAAGAAAGGTGCGGTGTTTGCTTGTGTGGAACAAGAGTGCATTTGGAGGGCCGTGCTCTGTCTTGTCAGGAATCCCCAGATGACTTGAGAACTTGCTTCTTGAAACAGTAATTCTGGCGGCTGAAATGCGAACTTCCTTGGCAGCACAGAAGACACAGTTCTGGGCATATTTCTATTCATACATAGAATAAGTACAGTGCCCTATTCGTTTATGTGTGCATATGTGTATGCCTATGGAGATGAATGATGTCTGCCTCATGTGTTCTCCATCTTTCTTTTTGAGACAGTGGTCTCTCACAGAACCTGGAGCTCACTGATTTGTCTAAATTGACTGGCCAGTAGCACCAGGGATCCACACATTTCTGCATTGGCAGCGCTGGAATTACAGACTAGGCTGCTGTACCTGGCTTTTTATATGAGTGCTGGGGACCCAAATTCAGGACCTCAGGCTTTCGTGGCAAGTGTTTTACCGATTGAACCATCTCCTTAGCCGTCTTCCTGTTTTATTTTTTAATTTTTTTATTTTAAATTTTATTTATTGGTTTATTTGTTTGGGCCCAGCTGGCCTGGAACTCACTATGTAGACAAGGCTGGTTTCAATCTCACAGAGAGCCGCCTGCCTCTGCCTTCCCAGTGCTGGCATTAAAGCTATGCACCTATCAGGCTGTGCCTCTTCCTACTTTTTTTAACTTTTGAAGATCTTGGACCAAGGTTGTGGCCTGCCTAGCATACACAAGCTCCCAGTGCTGCTAAAAGATAGATCAAAAGTAGTTTTAGGGTTGTTGATGTTCACCTTCTTTTCTGTTTTTAGAGAAAGAGAGAGCGCTCAAAGAGAAGCCGAGCTCCGTGCCCAGCAGGTGGGAAATGCTGACAACTTGGGCTCTCATTTGTGTGCTTCCTTCCCACATTTAACACTTGAACACTGGTATTTAGAATGGAAATAAAGTAGGGGATACTGGAGGAGCAGGCTGGAGAAATAATCAGTTTCTAACCCTTTCAGACAGAGCTTAGTGAATGTCTTGAGATTTTAGTATGAATCATAGTGCGGTTTGTCTGGAGTTACACTGTTAGTGTGCTGGTGATGTCACGGTGTGCCAGCGTGCACAGGCTAAACAAGGGATTGAATTTCTCATGGTTGCAAGGCAGCTGTAGACTTGGGTTCTCCCCAAGCCTCTCTGACTGGCACCCTCACATCATCGCCTTCTTTGGTGTGTTTCCTAGTTCAGATTGGATGCCCACTCCATTGACCTCATTTCAACTTAGTCACTCCATCAAAAGTTCTGTCTCTAAATACAGTCACATTCTGAGGTGCTGGGGGTAGGGCTTCAACATGAGAGTTTGGGCAAGGACACATTCAGTGGGTGGAAAGGGAGGATGGCAGCTGTTTCTACAGTAGTGGCACACTCTAAAACCCATCTTCCTCCATCCAGGAGGAAGCTGTCAGGAGGCAGCAAGAACTCGAGGCTCTGCAGAAGAGTCAGAAGGAAGCCGACTTGAGCCATGAGCTGGAGAAGCAGAAGGAAAACAAGCAAGTGGAGGAGATCCTGCGGCTGGAGAAGGAAATCGAGGACCTGCAGCGCATGAAGGAGCGGCAGGAGCTGTCCCTGACCGAGGCCTCTCTGCAGAAGCTGCAGCAGCTGCGGGACGAGGAGCTGCGCCGGCTGGAGGACGAGGCCTGCCGTGCGGCCCAGGAGTTCCTGGAGTCCCTCAACTTCGACGAGATCGACGAGTGCGTCCGCAACATCGAGCGCTCCCTGTCTGTGGGCTGTGAGTTGCCCGGGGAGCTCGGCGAACCAGCGGAGGGTGCCAGCGGAGAGAAGCCCAGCTTCAACTTCAGCCAGCCCTACCCCGAGGAGGAGGTGGACGAGGGTTTCGAGGCTGACGACGATGCCTTCAAGGACTCGCCCAACCCCAGCGAGCATGGCCATTCTGACCAGCGGACAAGTGGCATCCGGACGAGTGACGACTCCTCGGAGGAGGACCCCTACATGAACGAAACGGTGGTGCCCAGCCCCAGCGCGGACAGCACGGTGCTGCTCGCCCCGTCGGTGCAGGACTCGGGCAGCCTGCACAACTCCTCCAGCGGGGAGTCCACCTACTGCATGCCCCAGAGTGCTGGGGACCTGCCATCCCCGGATGGCGACTACGACTACGACCAGGACGATTACGAGGATGGCGCTATTACCTCCGGCAGCAGCGTGACCTTCTCCAACTCCTACGGGAGCCAGTGGTCCCCGGACTACAGGTGCTCCGTGGGAACCTACAACAGCTCCGGAGCCTACCGGTTCAGCTCGGAAGGGGCGCAGTCCTCGGTGAGTACCGCAGTCTTTCCCCTGGAGGTGGGAGTGCTCCACAGCCGTGTAGCGTCGTCAGTTACGTAAGACAAGCCCCCAAAGAGTCCGGACTTGCTCCTAAAGACAATCTTAGACCCTTTCTCTTTCCAAGTTCTGCAATGTGCCTTTTGCAGTAGAGCACAAAGTCCAGGACTGGATTTTATTCAAGTCCTGAGAAAAGTGATGCCCCATCCACGTTTTTTTTTCCCCCCTTTTTGATACAGGGTCTCCCTGTATCCCAAGCTAGCCTGCAACTCTCTATGTAGACCTCACTGGCCTTAATCTCAGAGATCCACTTGCTTCTGCCTCCCAAATGCTGGGATTAAAAGTGTGCACCACCACACCCAGCCAAAATAGCATTTTAAATGGCTTTGCCTTTTTAAGTTATGCTTTCTCTTTTTGGTTATACATCAAATGCTGTCTACTTTCTAAGGTTTGGCTGTGTTTTTAGCATAACAATTTAAAGGAAATAAACTTTGCATGATTTGATTAAAATTATACCCTTAAACATTCTTTTGTTTTAGAATAGAGCCTTTGGGTTAAAGTCTATTTTTTTGCAGCTCAGCATTTGACCCTTCATGTTGGTGTTTTATAATCCTGAACTCCTTGGATTGCCACACTGTTTTATGATGTTGTAAATTGGGAGTATTACTTCCATTTGGTTTCACTATTGGTCTTTGCTGCGTGTTGTCCTGTTTGCTCTCCATCCTATTTGCTCACCATTTCTTTGTCTCCTTGTCCAGTTTGAAGATAGCGAAGAGGACTTTGACTCTCGGTTCGATACAGATGATGAACTGTCTTACCGGCGAGACTCTGTGTACAGCTGTGTCACACTGCCTTATTTCCACAGTTTCCTGTACATGAAAGGTACAGCCTGCGGCTGCAGAGCCAGGGTTGGGGTAAAGCTAAAAGGTCACTCAACACACCCTCAACACAATGGTAAACCACTTAGTGAATGGAAGACAGTGGGTCATGTTGGTGTAATGTAGGCACTGCTTGCCTAGATGAATGTGGCCTTGACTTCCTGCATTGGTGCAGAATGATAGGACAGAGTCTGCAAACATGTGACATGCATTTTTAGTTCCTCTCTCTCCCTCCCTCTCTCATTCTCACATGCACATAAACATAGAAGCAAATGTGTATGCTGTTAAGCTGGGAATCACAAGGCACCGGGACCCGTTCTAATGCTAGCACCCACCCCCATATACGTATATAAGATTTCAGAGAACGTGGAAGGATATGCTGAACTGTGGGGAATAAAGATCTGACAGACACAACTTGAATAATCTATTCACCACATCTGCTTTTCATCAGACATCTATTTCAGTTGCTATTAAACTTTGAGTGTGCTGTACTGGACCCTAAAACTCAGACGCCTTGAGCACCTTAACACAAAGGGTAATTAAATGAAGAAGAAAGTATTGGGGGCAAAAGAACAACATATGAGAGAGAGAGAGAGAGAGAGAGAGAGAGAGAGAGAGAGAGATCAATAATCCAAAACCCATACACACTGGAAACCCAGAACAAGCATCGGGAGTGTTTCAGTTAAAACCCTGTGCTTGGATCATGATGTTTGACTCTGGTTTCTCATTCAGAGTCCAGGATAATGAGAAACCATAATCATCACCAGGGTTGGGTAGCAGTTTTACGTAAATGGTCAAAAGAGTGGAACCACCTTATTGTGTGGTCCCAGGCTGGGGGGAGCAAAGAGTCAGGAGCATGGGTCTGGGGCAAGAGAACGGAAGCTATCATCCATAGATACTGTCCTTGACTCTCTTATCCTTTTATCCTTTCTTTACTCTCTTTTTCCTGATTTCTCCATCCACAAGTATTTTGTCATCTCTAGCCCTGCTCTTCACCATCATGTGTGTGTGTGTGTGTGTGTGTGTGTGTGTGTGTGTGTGTGTGTGTGTGTGCAGTCTAAGGTGTCTTTCTCATCACACTATGCATTATTTTTTGATGCAGATCTTGATCAATCTCCCCCCTCCTCCCCCCGAACCTGGAACTCACCAATTTGGCCAGAGCAGCTGGCCAGCAAGCCCTAGGAATCCTCCTGTCTCTGCCTCCTCAGCACTAGGATTATAGGTACACAAGGCCATACAGCTTTTTACATGGGTGCTGGGGATCAAACTCTAGTCCTCCTGCTTGCTTTGCCCATGGAACCATCTCCCTAGACCCTCTCTTCCCTTTCTTTTATAGTGCCGTCTTCATTTGTTTTGTTCATCTCCATCCCACCATGAGAAACTTTAGCCTGTTGTTACCTTTGGATGCTTGTTCTGGGTTTTCAGTGTGTATGGGTTTTGGGGTTTGGATTGTTGTTCTTGCTTTGTTTTATATTCTTTCTCTCTCTCTCTCTCTCTCTCTCTCTCTCTCTCATATTTATCTTTTTCATGTGTTGTTCTTTTACCCTCAATACTTTCTTCATTTAATTACCCTTTGTGTCTGTTCCCCTTTTAAAACACAAATCTAATGATCATGATCAGTCATTTCATGGTTTTCATTTTAAGCCACAAATCTGTAAAATGCTCATAAAATTCCTACCAGGTTTGGTTTAGGGAAGCCGTTTCTGTAGCCTGAAATCATTGCTTGGAATGAAAAAGGTTGGGGGATTCTTAACCAGGACATGTAGCTCATTGAAATATCTGACAAAGGGAAAAATGGGGCTCCTGGTGACCAATGAGTATTTAATCACAGCCTCTTCCATGGTCTCTAACATCCTCAGTGAAAGAAAGAGAACCTTTGCAAGCCTTGAATGAAATAATGTCTGAAACTTTTAGAGAAACCAATTAGGAAAAAAAAAATCGAGTAAGCAAAAATCAGTTTTCCCCAGTTAAAAAGCCTGACAAAAGTATTTGTGGTTAGGCAGTTAGCATTGCTCCACCAGCCAGAATGGCACAGCGTTGGAAGCTTGTCAGATTGCAAAGGAGACTGGGAGTAAGTTCAGGAGAGAAGAAGAGCAGACTCTGAGAAGTTGTGCTTACCCCAAAGATAATCTTTTCTTGTTGTCTTGAAGTGAGACTTTATCTCTGTTTCTAGAACCACTGATAATGCTCGTCCCCACTCTGGCCAAGGTCCTTACATGTCGAGAAGGTTCTTGCTCGTGGTTCTGTATTCATTCCTGGGGAGATTGTCCATCTTGACTCCTCTGTAAGCTGCTTAAGCTTTCTCAGCTAAGTGAGGAGGGGCTGTTTTGTACATCAGGAAGGGGCAACATTCTTGTGTGACATAGCCAAGTGGCTGGATTATCTCCCTTTGTTCCCTGAACACCAGCCAGTGCCCCTCCTTTTTATAGAAGAGTTTCTGAATACATATCAGTGGAGCAAGGTTCAAGATGGGCTACTTGAAGATTGGCTGCAGATGGATGTTGTCACTCAGTTTAATTGACTTCTTAACCCTTCTCTGCCCCATCTTGGGGTAACAGGTGGCTTAATGAACTCCTGGAAGCGCCGCTGGTGTGTCCTCAAGGATGAGACCTTCCTGTGGTTCCGTTCCAAGCAGGAGGCCCTCAAGCAAGGCTGGCTGCACAAGAAAGGTGGAGGCTCATCCACACTGTCCAGAAGAAACTGGAAAAAGCGCTGGTTTGTCCTCCGGCAGTCCAAGCTGATGTACTTTGAAAACGACAGTGAGGAAAAGCTCAAAGGCACCTTGGAAGTCCGGACGGCCAAGTATGTTTATGGCCACTGGGATAGGGCTCTGGGCAGCTTGTTCTTTATGCTGATGGGTACAAATTTCTCTTTAGAAGTTCTTTTTAACATGTGTATATGGGGGGGGGTTGCAAGTGTGTGCAAGTGCTTTTGGAAGCTAGAGGTTAACCTCAGGTGTCTTTCCTCAGAAGCTATCTACCTTGTTTTTGATAGGGCCTGGGAATTGCCAGGTAGGCCAGGCTGGCTGGCCAGCAAGCCCCAGAGATCCTCTTTCTGCCTCCCCAGTTTAAGTGGGTTCTGGAGATTGAACCATGGTCCTGGCACTTGTACAACAAGCACTTTACAGACTGAATTTTCTCACCAACCCACAAGTTCTTTGCACCAGTAGACGAGGGTAGGTGCCCAGTGAGTCTTCATAATTCCCTTTAGTGGGTAATATTGTTGAAGGAACTGGGAAACAAGACTTAATTTGTGGATATTTTACTTTGATTGTGATTAATCACAGACAGATGTTTTTCATTTGGAGGATGGCCTCTTGGACATATAAGCATCCCACTGGAAATGTAATTATGTGTATGCAGAGAAAGTTGTCTTGAATAAAGCCAGGCATAGTACACACCTATAACCTAAGTACTGGGGAAACCTAGGCACGACAGTTGTAAGTTCTAGGGCAGCCTGGGCTACTAGAGAGTTTGGGGGCAGCCTGGCATATATGGTGAGAACCTGTCTCAAAAATTGAGGGAAAAGAAAAATGTACATGTAGAGTAATTGGTTGAAAGCCCCCTTAATTGGTCAACCAGTTTCTTTCACACCTTTCTCACTCTGGCTATTTGCCAACAGCCCAGTTAGCTACATTGGGAGCTGGTTGACAGTTGTGTTCTAAAATGAAGCACTTATTCTCCCTGTGACTTGGTTCTAGCTCCAGCGCTGGCTTTGGAAATCTACTCAGCCTTCTTTTCTGCCAACCTCTTGTAGCAGCAAGGCTTTGGCCTGTTAAGGGACTTACTATTTTGTTTAAAAATTAATGTTTTGAGAAAATTGATGCTATAGGGGCTGCTGATTTTCTTGGCTAACTAGGTACTCAGGATAAAATGTTGTTTAGGGATAACCTGTACCCATACTCCACTTAAAAAAGGGAAACCACAAATATTTGGGGAAATGGTAAAATAAACTTTGAGAGATCAAATTAACCCCTTAAGTCATGAGATTTGCAGATGGATTGTTTCCCATGAGCCAACATCAATAACTTAGGAAAATTAACTCATGGGTATGTGGAAGGGTAAACAAGGAAAGGCTTTTACGCTTCTTTTTTTTTTGTCTTTTTGAAACAGGGTCTCCCTGTAGCCCCAGCTGGCCTGGAACTCACTATGTAGACCAGGCTGGCCTTGAATTCACAGAGATCCACCTGCCTCTGCCTCCCAAGTGCTGGGATTAAAGTCATGTGCCACCATGCCCATCTATGCATTTGGTTTTCAGGAACAAATTATAAAATACAGCAGCAGCAGAGTGTAGGGCTTTCCAGGCTGCTCTTTTGGGGTTCATTAGGAGCAAGAGTGGCTTTGGGGTAATTCATGTCTAAAGCGTTGACAGCTTGGCCCAGTGCTCATCCCACCGTCAGCTCTGCCCTGCGTGCCATGTTACTCCTCTTTATTCATCTCAGAGATGAGGCCAGGCTAGGAGAAGGGGAAGAGGATTTCACCAGACTAAAGTAATGTACAGCTGGCCCTCTGAAGCCATGGTTTCCACTTCTGCAGACCCAACCATGCATGGATCAGCAATATTCAGAAAAAGAGCATGTCTGTACTGAATATGCATATACAGATTTTCCCCTGATTATTCCCTAAACAGCATGGCATAGCAACTGTTTCATAGTGTATACACTGTAATGGGAATTACTGGTAATTCAGAGAGGACTTTAAGTATATGGGATCGATTGCTTAGGTTATATGCAAATACTATGTTAATTTATGTAAGAAACTTTTTTAAAGATTTATTTGTTTTCATATGTGTGTATGAATGTGTTCTAGTTTGTTTCTACATTGCTGTGACAAAATACTCTGACTAATACCAACTCGGGGAGGAAGGGGTTATTTGCCTTACATCTCCTGGGTCACAGTTCATCACTGAGGGAGCCCAGGGCAAGAACCTGGAGGCAATAGCTGAAGCACTGGCCATGGAGGACTTTTAAAAGACTATGCTGCTTACTGGCTTGCTCCCTGGCCCTTGTTCAACCTACTTTCTCATACAACATAGGCCCACCTGCCCAGGGGTGGCACCACCCACAGTGGGCTGGGCCTTCCCACATCACTCAATAATCAAGAAGATGCCCCACAGACATGGCCACAGGTCAGTCCAATGGAGACAGTTCACCAATTGAGGCTCCCTCTACCCTGGTTTGTCAAGTTGACAACTAAAACTATCCAGCATATTGACCCCTTGTCAACTTGACACACAAGCACATCACTATTAAACCAGAACTTTTCCATTTCTTATTCCCAGAATATGATGTTAATATCACAACATAAGACAGTACAACCTTAAAGTCTCACAATCCTTAAAACAATCCAAACCCTTAAAAATCCATAGTCTCTTTTAAAAGTCTCTTAACTGGGGGTTCCTGTAAAATCTAAAACAAGTACTGTTTTATTTCAAAGGGAAGAATCAGGCACACCTAAGCAAAACCAAAGTCCAGCAAAGTAGCTCAAGGCTGGACATCTGGGATTCACTCATCTTCTGGGCTCCAAAAGGTTCTGGCAGCTCCATTCTGACTGCCGTCCACAGCACACACAGCTTGTCTTGCAGACTCAGGCTGACTCCATTCCACACCTGCCACTGCCCATGGTGGTTGTCCCATGGTCCCGGCATCTCCAAAAAGCTGGGGTCTCGACTGAAACTGAGGCTACACCCTCACCAATGGCCTCTTCTGGCCTTTCAGGGTGCAAAGCCTCAGATTCTCTCCATGACCCCTTCAATCCTAGGGTGTTCACTGCAACTGAGGCTACATGTGTACTTCACTAATGGCCTTTTCTGGCCTCTCAGGGTGCCAAGCCTCAACTGCTCTCTGTGACCCCTTTCACACTTAACACCAGAACCTGGCCCTTGTTCAACCTACTTTCTCATACAACATAGGCAAGAGGCTCTTACACATTACCAAGTCCTGCTTCCAGCTTGAGATGGAGGCTTAGGCCGTCTCTGGACCACAGCTTCTGTGCTGACCCTGAGGAAATACTTCCCAGAAGACTTTGCCGCAGTGATACTGGTCTCTTGTTACTTACAGCTGATTTTTCAGCCCCAGCTAACCAGCATCAGCTGTCCCAGTAAAGCAAAGGTTTCACTTCAGTGGTTCTGGTCTTTTCTTAATCCCAACTGATCCTTTAGCCCCAGCAGACCAGAACCTATAGATTCTCAATTCAAAATATTCCGCAACAGCCCTGATGGTCTCTGCTTCCCTTTGAAGCTTCACAAGCCAGGCCTCTATTGTCTACAACTATTTCAGCATAACTATTCCAAGCTCCACAGCAACAAACTCTAAGCACTCACGGCTTTTCCAGCCCAAAGTTCCAAATACTTCCACAATCCTCCTAAAAACAAGGTCAGGTCTGTCACAGCTATACCTCACTCTCGATACCAATGTCTGTTCTAGTTTGTTTCTCCATTGCTGTGACAAAATACTCTGACCAATACCAACTTAGGGAGGAAAGGGTGTATTTGGCTTACATCTCCTGGGTCATAGTTCATCACTGAGGGAGCCCAAGGTAGGAACTCAGGGCAAGAACCTGGAGGCAGGAGCTGAAGCATAGGCCATGGAGGAATGCTGCTTACCGGCTTGCTCCCCTGACTTTTTTTTTTTTTTTCCTGTCTTTTTGAGACAGGATCTCTCTGTAGCCTCAGCTGGTCTGGAACTCGCTTTGTAGAGCAGGCTGGCCTTAAACTCACAGAGATTAACCTGCACCTGCCTCCCAAGTGCTGGGACTAAAGGTGTATACAACCATGCCCAGCCAACATAGGCCCACCTGCCCAGAGGTGGCAGCACCCACATCACTCAATAATCAAGAAGATGCCTCTAAGACATAGCCAGACTCTGGTCCAATGGAGGCAGTTCACCAATTGAGGCTCCGTCTACCCAGGTGTGTCAAGTTGACAATTAAAGCCATTCAGCAGAGTGTTTACCTGCATGTATGTAAGTGTGCCATGTGTGTGCAGTGTCCAAAGAGGGAAGAAGAGGGTGTCAGATCCCTGGAACTGGAGATGCAGGTGGTAGTGAGCCACTATGTGGGTGCTGGGAACCAAAGCTGGGTCCTCTGCAAGAACAGCCAGTACTCCTAAGTGCTGAGCCATGTCTGCAGTCCTGTAAGGGCTTCCTTCAAAGCTGCGCATTCAGGTGTCGTCAGCAGGTCCTGGAACCTACAGATACCAAAGGACAACTTTATGTTACTTTTGCTGCTTGCTCTATGCTTCTTAGGAAAGGTCTATTGTCGGGCACTCTTGAGTTGTAGAAGTGTTAGCGTGTAGCCATATCTGTCACATTCTGGGGTCATGGGTTGTCCCAGACATTCAGGTGTCGTCGGCAGGTCCTGGAACCTACCGACAACTCTATGTTACTTTTGCTGCTTGCTCTATGCTTCTTAGGAAAGGTCTATTGTCGGGCACTCTTGAGTTGTAGAAGTGTTAGCGTGTAGCCATATCTGTCACATTCTGGGGTCATGGGTTGTCCCAGTCTTTTTGGACAATTTCTTTAGTGAATGAAATTTTCACCACATTAAGATTTTTTAAATTTTTTTAATGTTTATTATAGAGCATTTA